GGGAGGAGGAACTCTCGTCTCGACGCGTCTTTCGCCTCGGTGAAACTGGAACGCGTTTCCCTCTCCGCCCCACCCCGCGTCCCGAACTCTTTCAGTCGTGCGACGGGAGGCGTTTCGAAACGTATCTCGATATTTCGCGCGTCGCTGCTCGCCTCGTCGGCCGGATTCGTCGGTTAATTAAAGGAGCAAAAAGTACCGGGGAGCGGAATAATGAATTCGTGACGCGACAATAGCCGCGAGGCAATAAAATTTGGCGCCCTTCGACGCGGGCGGGAGCGAGGAGAGGTCCTTGCTCGATGGAGCGCGCGCGCGGGCGCTCGTATTACGGCCAGTCGATCCGTCCGTCCGTCCGTCCTGGCCCGATCCTGTCGGGTTATTCACGCGCCCGGAAAGCGAACGCACATGCGTCTGTAAACACGACCTTGCGACTTTACGATCGTTTACCGACTCCCTGCCGACCTTTCGGAAGCTACGGCCGTTCTGGAATTCCAATTAATCTCGCGCGCTGCACGCCGGTGCGTACCTCGTTTATCGTTACGGGAATAAAAACCGCACGGACGATGTAAATTAACTCGTCGACGAACCAGGAAATCCTCATCCGTCTAATAATTGGCGAACGCGATTGCGCGCGCGAAACGGACGATCGAGAGAAAATGGATGGCTCCAGCCGCGCGTCGAAGACGAAACACGGTCTCGCGAGAACGGCGCGAGACTTTGTCGATGAGAAGCATATTTATTATTTATCGATCTTCGGTGGAAATAATATTGCTAAATTTTGTTCGGACACCACATCGGTTCGATCACGGGCGACTGTAACCTTACAACAACGACGGATAAAAATAGTTATTTATACGCGTAGGGAGTCACACGATGCATGGAGGCCGTCGTTGAGGGTTCCAACCCCTCGTGCGCGACGCGACTTTCAGTCTCGATCGACGCACGATGCGGCTCGTTAAAAGAAATTTTATTTTTTCACCGTCATTTTCGCGAACAGTTACGCGAAAGGAGGAACGTCGAAAATGTATAAATATCCGTCTTTGGACGATACGGTCCGATGCTCGCGGGTCGAAAAATACATGTTGCGAGACGCGGAACGTCGGGGACGGTTCGCGGGTCGTTGCGCTGCACCGGGCGTCGGGCTCGAGGGGTTAAAGATAATTGCCCTACTTTTAACCTCTCGAGCGTGCTCGTAAATAAATAAAATAGATATAAGACAAAGGATAATATTAAGGATTTTCTAGGAAAATAACCATACTCTGTTGCTCTGAAGAAAGAGGTTATAATTCACACATGACGTATATACAATATTTATAGATATGCAAAATGGTTTACCAATCACCTAAAAAATAAAAAAGAGAAATGACAATTAAAGTCTATTCTCCTTTGTTGGAGAACAACGATATCCGAATGAATGAAGTATGCGGAGTGACGTTGGTATTATCGATCTGTGATAATGCGTTTTTTGTTTCCTCATTAACTGTTTTTGTTCATTCTGTTCAGTTCGTTCTGTTTGTATCTTCGTGTCTAATAAAATTTATATATTGCTGCTTACGCTAAAGTCCACTGTTATTATACTGTTAATAAACCAAGTTCGCTGTCACATCCTTATTTACTCCTAGATCTATTATTTTATTAATTGCTAATTATCGATCACTTAACACTAGAACTACCGACAATTATAGTGTGTTTATTTGTACTAAAGTAATTGAAATTGAATAGATACTTTATTCTCTTATAGAAAATTACGATAAATTTTCAAAAATCCAATCGAATACATTTTTTATAAATTTTATTAGAAATTATGAATGGGTCATTTTGACTGGTTTTGGTAGTTCTAGTGTTAAATCACTGCACGTGTGCTCTCTTGCGTAATCTCTCTATATCTTTCATCCCTCTCGTTGAGTATCGATGTATATCGATTAGAGGGCGCGCTGAGCTAATAAAGCGTGGCTAACTTGAATCAAAGAAAGTATTCTTTCTTTAGATAAATAAATAAATAAATAAATAAATATACTATAAATAATATGAATAAATAAATAAATAAATATACTATATAATATGAATAAATAAATAAATAAATAAATATACCATGTAATATGAATAAATAAATAAATAAACTCGCGAACGAGCCATGACTCGCGGGGGGAGGGGGGTTAGTAGATGAGGAGGTGGCCGTGGAACGGGTCGAACGAGACGTTGTTGGATAAATCGAAATACAAATCAAGTTAGTCAAACGCGACGGAAATACTGCCCCTTGAGATGTCGCGGGTTGGTCCCGAAGGCAATGGAGATTTGATCGCTGCCACCTCCAAGACAGTTCGCCTCCATGCACGGGGACGAGCGTGGTTTAGGGTCTGGTGTAAAGTAATTTCTAAATTATCAGTGTAAGAATATTTACACGAGCACGTGTGCGGAAGCGGTATATCGCTTTCGAGTCGCCGCCGCGATTCCGTGAAACTCACGCGGGTCACACGTGGCCTCACAGAGTGACCGAATCGCCAAAAGACAAAGAAGAATCGGTGGTATAAAACCCCCAAGCCTTGGAGGAACGATATCTGTCCTGACTAAATAAAGCACTTAAAAGCATTGGGAGCCGCTGGTAACAAAATTGGAATATAATTCGGAGTACAAAGGGTTAAAATAGATCTTGTTATTGCGCATCTTTTCTCAGTTCCCCCGATCCACTAAGTCCTTGCGTCAGATACCTTCGATCGTCGCGTAATTTCGAGACAGCCGGTATGTCGAGCGACCCAGGGGTCAGTTGGGTCGATCCGACAGCCATGCTCGCTGATAAAGATGGCGGTCGTTTGCTCTCGACCGGTGGCGTTCGCGAAGAAGGGACTGGGGGCCCTCTCGATCGATCCGGTGCCCGCATAGTCGCGAGCGCGTAGGAGTGTTTGTTTGTCGACGGCCGCACCGTAGCCTCCGTCGACGTCGTCGAGAGAAACTTTTTATTGCAGGGTTTTCCCTATAATCTCGAATAATTAACGACGACCCCGTTGGGCTCACGGTCCGCTCCGGTCTGGGCTGGCGGAAGGGAAGTAGACGCCGCGGATGCCCGATCCCGCAACGTCATCCGTGTGCAAGACGTCCAAGCGGCACCGAACCTCGACCATCCTCGTCTCCACCCTTCTCTCCCTTCTCGATCCTTCCGAGAAACACCCGACGCTGCGTGCTTCCACCTCCGTTTTCTTCGTCGTCGACTTAACGGCCGCACCTGCTACCGCCTCGTTTCGGCCCCGAGCAGCGCGCGCGAATTTCTTCCCTTCGACGTGCCCTCCCGCTGGAGACCGTATTTCCGCTCGGCGCGCGCTTCCCTTTTAGACGCTGGAAATCCCCCGTCCCGTGGGGTTGGGCGCTTTAAGGTCGATGAACACTGGCTCCCGGAAGCGTAATCGCGATAAAAAAAAAATTTTTTCTTTTCCTCCTCCATCCAACCCCTTCCACGTGTAATATATTTTTTTCAATATTCCCCGACGCTAGATTCGTCTACCTTGGTCGTGTCTAACCTCCGTAATTAACTCGCGAAGTATTTTATAAAATAGTCTAGCGAACACCATGGTGTAACTTCCTGTGCTCGCCGCCAGATGGCCACGCTCTCGTCTCTCTCGCAAGCGTTCGAGCGACCCCTCCGTCCCTATATATACGCTTCTCGTCCGCTGGATAAGCAGCGCCACGGACACTAAACGTTATTGTTCGACTCGAACCGTTTCGTGGACAGCATTATAAATCGATCTTTAGGCGATTTTTCCCCCTGCTCTAGACGTTGCCATAAATGAGAATTTCTCCAAGTCCTCCGGTGGTGTGTGCAGAGAGTGGTTTTCGGGTTCGAATATCCCCGGGAATCAATAATTCAAATCCCGGTGTCCTCGACGCTCCGGCTATTTCGTCCGTTTCGTTTTATCGCGAGCGACTCGAATGCAAGGGCGAGAGCGCGCGGTCGGTAGTCTCGCCGAGCCGGGGAAAGAAAGGACGCGCCCCGACGTAAATCGAGAAGGACACTCTCGACGGCGTTACGTAAATCGGGCGCACAGGAGGATTGGCGTCGTTTCTCCTTTGTCCGTTTCTATTCGTCGGTGGGGGTCGGGTCGCGTTTTGAGCGTCGTTAGGTGAATCACGGTGCAAATGAAATTAGTCGAGCCCGAACGGAAATACGTATCTTCGGGTGACGTGTGTTGGCTCCCGGTCACGTTGGAGGGAAAACAACCTTTGCCCAACCGCTTTTCCAAAGATTAGCTGTTCAGGCAATTTGTTGAAAGCAAGCTCTGAATCCTTATTAACACCTTGCACTATTTTCACTGAGTCTCACTTTGTGATGACAATTTTAGGCCTAACTTGATGATCATAAGTCAGGTTGTTCAATTTCATTGCTCACTGCTTGCTAGCTAGGTCATTTCCTTGTTAGCTAGCACACTGCTTCGTAGCTAGCTTACTGCTTCCTAGCTAGCTTAGTCCTTCCTAGCTAGCTTAGTCCTTGCTAGCTAACTCACTCCTTCCTAGCTAGGTTACTCCTTGCTAGCTAGCTCACTCGTTCCTAGCTAGCTCACTCGTTGCTAGCTAGCTCACTCCTTCCTAGCTAGCTCACTCATTGCTTATTAGCTAGCTCACTCCTTGCTAGATAGCTAACTCAGTCCTTGCTTACTTGCTAGCTCACTCCTTCCTAGCCAGATCACTCCTTGCTAGTAGCTAGCTTAGTCCTTCCTAGCTAGCTCACTCCTTCCTAGCTAGCTCACTCCTTCCTATCTAGCTTAGTCCTTCGTAGCTAGCTCACTCCTTGCTTACTAGCTAGCTCACTCCTTCCTAGCTAGCTTAGTCCTTCCTAACTACCTTAGTTCTTCCTAGCTAGCTCACTCCTTGCTAGCTACCTTAGTCCTTCCTAGCTAGCTCACTCCTTGCTAGTTAGCTCACTCCTTCCTATCTAGCTCACACAGTAGTGCAAGGGGTCAATAAAACTGAACTTTCTCAACCGTTCTAATTATGTTTGTTTGCTGTGTTTATAGGAAATGGACTGCACTCGAGTCTCATTTGGGTGTCTCCATTCATGAGATCAGGGAGGCGGATTTAATCGGAAGAAAAAGGAGTAATATGACGCAGCGTCCAAAATCGCGAACGTTCTTGGTGACATGCGTTGGATGGTGGCCCCCCCGCGTGAAGATCTACGATTACAATTCTACGGATCGTTGCTCGGTCAACGGTACATGCAACATCTCCGGGGTACACGCGTATTACATAATTCAAAAAGTTCTAAAATTAGAGGCCCGCGCGTCGAGTCGCGCCGCGGCACGGATAGGCTGGCCCGAGACGAGAGGAAAAGAATACGCTCGAAGAAGATCTCGCGCGAGAGTCTGCGCGAGTTAAATATAACGTCTCTGGAGCAGACGACAGGTAGTTGCTCGCCAGCCTCGGCCTGGGGCTCTGTGGTTACGATGGACGGTGTCCACCACGATTCGCGTTTGCTTTTTGGTGGATGGAAGAAACTTCGAGAATTGTAATTTGTTTGTAATTGGGGAACGATAATATACGATATGGCACGATGAAAATTCTACCAAGGGACACTTGGGGTTGTCGAATTTTTTATTTTTCCCAAATATGTTTCGCTCGAATAGTTATAATCTTATTCGTGCAGTCGAGTTGCCGACGCAATTAAGGTATCCAGTTTGATGTAATTGATAGGTATCGAGGCGATGGCTGTTTGTCTCGGGAAGTCTTGAATCGTATGAAGAGATTCCTTGGAATGGTTCGATACAAGGGTATCAATTTCAAACTAGACGCCGCGATCAATTTCAAACGCCTCGATGGTATATCTAGACGCGTATAATTCCTGTGTTCATCTATCTGGAGACGCGAAACGCAGCGAGCGATACGGGGCACCGTCGAGAATCAGATTTCCCGACATTTTAGTAAAATCGAATCTCGAGCCAAGAGTAACGAATCACGCGAGGAAATTAATCGAGCAATCGTTAGGGATCGACTTGATCTCGCCGTTGGTGTTCGCGGGGCTCGTCCCTTTATGTTTATTTACAGGGTTGACCAGCGTCGAGCATAACGTCGAGGGTGATTCGGCAAACAAAAATAATATGACCGAGCTCGAACAAGTGTCCGGACCTGTCGGCCACGAGTGCTGTACACACGGATCGACGTGTCGCCGTAAAAAGGCCTCGAAACGATTACACCCTCTTTCGAGAATCAGTATCCCCTCTTCAACGCCGCTGCTCGTTATTTACGAAGATCGATCCCGTCGCTCGAGTCGCGCTGTCCACTTATATTCGACGTCCGCGAAAATCATCTGTTTTCGTTCCCCCGCGTCGCCGAGCCGTGACATTAAGAGTGATTCTCTCGATCCCACGTTCCAGAGTGGCGAGAGGACGGAGGGGCTGGAGGGGAGGTCGGAAACAACGCAAACAACGGGCGCGAGCGCGCGTTCGAAAAACTAATAAAACGCCAAATGAAACAGGAAGCGCCCGCGAACCGTCCCCGTTTGGCAAGGCAAGGGGGGAGGGGTGGTGACGCGCGCGATACACGATCGACGCGTTTATCGAAATTCAACGCGAAGCGGCCGGGCGTCTAACGGCGGTCGAGTAGTCGACGACGTTCGGTGTAACTCCCCACTCCCCCCCCTCCTCTCTTCACCCACCCACCGTCTCAGGTTAGGAGCCGCCGCGCAGACCTCGAATTCTTTTTCCACGAAGCGACCTTTACATTCCTAATCGTGACCGCGCGAATTCTTCGGTGCGTCCTTTCGGCGGCGTTACCTGCCGACGGCGGCGTGTGGCCGCGCTTGTTTCCAGCGCGCATGCCTTCTGCCCGTCTCCTCTACGTGGCCCTCGCCGTTCGTGAGAGCCTGCAGCCTCTGACGGGAAGGGCACGATCGGAAAATTAACGACCCCTCGAGCGTTAACTCCCGACTCCCGAGGTCGGTTCTCGGTCCGCTCGTTCGTTAAGTCCCTCCTCGAGTTCTCGCGACTCACGCCGCGCGTTTTCAGCTATCGCTGTGTCCCTCCGCTCTCTCTCTCTCTCACTCCATCCTTCGCCCCGCTGTGCCCCGCAACGCCGTTAGCCAACCGACCCAACCCCCTTTCCCGTCCCTCGATGCCCCCCTCCCCCCTGCTCCTCCTCCATCCACCTCGTCGTCCTCTCCCTGTACCCCGCCCGCGCCGCGCCGTTCCGTCCGCCGTCTGTCACGGGTTCCTCCAGCGTTCGCCCGCTCTCTCCGCCCGTCGCCTTTCCTTTCCCCTAACCGTCGCCGCCGGCTCTACCCCTCGAGCTACGAATCGGAGATTGGCGGAGAGACCGGTCGATTATCTATAATCGATAGCAACCGCTGGCGTGTATCAGGCCGCGGTGCGTGGCGCGCCGTGGACGCGCTACGTTCTTCGACCATTTTAATCGTTCGCCCCCGCGATACTGGGTCCGTTGCGACCCAGCAATTTTCAACTCCTGAAATACTTTGCACTTTAAACTTTCCTATCGTGTTTCTAGATTAGATGCAAAATTGAAATGGAGTACAAGAATATATATATGTATATATATGGGAAAAATTTTAATGGGGGATTCTAGAGGCCAAAATAAGACGAGAATCAAGAATATCACTTTCTTGACTGAGGTTTACTTAAAAAGTTATTAACAATTAAATTGAAAAATTTCAAATCGTGCTAAAAAAATTATTTTTAGCTAGCGGGGTCAATTCCCATCATTTTTTGTCATTATACATACCCTAGAAATCTTACGCATTTTTGAGAAAAAAATTCGAGAAGATTGACAAATTTTTCGTCGAAATTGAAAGGTTTGAAATCGTTTTTGAAAAATTATTTTCGGTTGCAGGAGTCGATTACAATCATTTTTGGTGAGTAGACACACCACCGAAATCCTGCGCATTATCGAGAAAAAAATTCGAGAAAGCGGATCAATTTTTCGTCGAAATTGAAAAGTTTCAAATCGATCTAGAAAAATTATTTTCGGTTGCAGGAGTTGGTTACAATCATTTTTGGTGAGTAGACATACCCCCGAAATCTTACGCATTTTCGAGAAAAAAATTCGTTACCGAAAATCTAATTAGATGCCTGAATTTTTCGACGGAAAAAAAGGAATTTCAAATCGTTCTGGAAAAATTATTTTCGGTTACGGGGGTCGATTGCAATCATTTTTGGTGAGTTGACATACCCCCGAAATCCTGCGCATTTTCGAGAAAAAAATTCCTTACGGACGGAACGTCAAACGTTAATAACTTTTTAACAAAGCCTCCATCAACAAATTGGTATTCTTGATTTTCGTCCTATTTTGGCCTCCAGAATCAATCATTAAAATTTTTCCCAGGGGTGGCCGAACACCCTGTATATCGAAAATTGAAATTGCATTGTGCTTCATGTCTCTCTCTCTCTCTCTCTCTCTAGTATCTTCTTGATCGCAAGTGGCGATATTCGCGTTATTCGTATCTCTGGGGATGAGGTTCTCCCCACTGACGGTTCGTGGCGATATCCGGTATCGACTAGTTCATCGACTGTCTCGATCATTTCGTCAACCCCTTGTTCGTACAGTGACGAGTCTGGCCGATCGTTAATGTTAACGTTCGCTGTGTCGTCTCGTTGTACATAGAATGGAAATTACTTCTTTTTGCGATGGCCACGACTGCGAGTCGTCGAGCATTGCCGGTAGAAAGTCCTCGCGTAAAAAGATAAAAAGTCCGCTCACACGACTTTCATAATGAACGGGTCATTTATCGAGTGATTATCGGCGGCGGTGCCTGGCAGGATTAGAGGAGCGGAGGCTGCGTCGTGCGCAGCGCGGGCGTCCCTTTGTTCGACGGCGTTCCGTTTCAGCGGCGCGCGGTCGGTTGTCGGTTCGCGACCATCTGGCGGTGCCGAGGATCGTCTTACGGTCGCGTGGAAAAAGGTTCCGCGCGGGAACCGTGCCGGGTTTCGGGACGAGGGGGCCGTACGGGGGGGAATATCGGGTCGGTTCGGTTCGTTGCTCCACTCCGTTTTAATTCGTCGTTCGCCGCCCTCCAATTTCCTCCGAGCGCAGGTAGCTGCGGAGGCCCCCGGACGAAAATCGATGGGAAAGCCCAGGAGATTTTCACGAAAACACAAGTCACCCCAGGATGGGTAAATGAAAACGAAGGATCGCGTCTGCCCCGACCTCGCCCGTGAAAGATGTTGATCGATGCCGATACAGCCTGCGCGGAAATTGAACGCTCGCCTTAGACCCCCGTTCGCTCGTTAACTCTTCGGGGCCACGCTGGGATTAAAAGTGTCCCACCTTTTCGATGCACCCGTAATGCACGGTGGGACATTTTCAGTCCCATCTCGAAATATCGCGATAGCTGCATGCGCATACGTTTACATTTCGTCTTATTTACGTAAAGCAGTTGGTAATATCTTCGATAAATGTTACAAATGTATTCACTCGTGTTGGCAACATGCCAATATAGGTTCATCAATCGTTGCAAGCGGAAGGGTTATTGCGACAATCTTTTAAAAATACACCAATTTTGTTTAATTTAAAACGCAATAAAATTTCTATGCAACTTGGGTCTATTTTATTATCTGAAATCCTGTGTCACGAAGAGGTTAGGGTGAGGGTACCTAACACAGCTTGACAAAAGTTAAATCGCAGTCGATCGAAATGGATTCTTACATCGAACGATGATTTTTAGATTATGTTGGTTACGGTTGCCTCGAAATGAAAATTTTCCGTCACGAGGATAATTTTGCTGTTTTGATCCGGTAGTCGACGAGTCGATACATCGTTTTATAAAGTTTCGAAGAGATCCCCTATCTCCCTAGGACGCTAGAACGTTGAAGGGACGTACTTTCCACGTGACACGTTCGAGCGGAAGACCCCGCCATTGGCTCGTACGAAATTTAATCGAGCCATTGTCGTGCCTAATTCCTTCGAGGAAACGCGTATCGTTTGCAGCGATAACTCGTGCCTGAGAACCACCTGCTCGGCCTCGGGCAGCCGGGCAACTGCGATGCCCGAATAAAAACGATCGCCGCTGAAGCGTTTGTTCGTTGCGGGAATCGAGCTGTTTCGGAGAGCCGGACGTCACTGATTAAATCGCAATCGCTACTATCCCATCGTTCGGGTTATTTTCAGACGTTGGGGTCCTTCGAACCAACGCTGCCTGCCTTTTACACAATTTGACAAAATGTAATCTGATCGTCGATCACAATTACAATACCTTCTCAAAATTTGGCATTCAAACTTACACCAAATCTTAGGTTATGTTTCCTTCGTTATCAAAATTAATAAAAGACAGAATCTATACGCAATATTACAGCATTATCGTTAAGAGTAAAAATTGATTCGTTTTAATAAAATCATCCTTCAAAGTCACACCAAATTTTAGGTTAGGTTTCCATCGTTGTCAAAATTAATAAAAGACAGAATCTATCGGCGATATTAAAGCACTATCGTTAAGAGTAAAAATTGATTCGATTTTAATAAAATCATCGTTCAAAGTCACACCAAATTTTAGGTTATGTTTCCCTCGTTGTTAAAATTAATAAAAGACAGAATCCATCG